CACACACACACACACACACACACACACACACACACACACACACACACGAAGTTAGTCTATACATTTACATCACATATGTCTAAAACTACTCACTGTTGCCTAATTACTGCCTTAATCACAGTAAACTTAAATAATAATCATTTGTTATTATATAATAATCATTGTTTATTATTCATATTAATATTATTGTGTACTTTTGTATTTTGATGCTTTGGCAAAATATTTTTATTGAAACTTTCATGCCAATAAAAAAAGGCTCATTGAATGTTTTTAAAGAAATATTTCATGAACACAAAAAGACTTTAAGAGGACTAACCTCTGACACACACACACACACACACACACACACACACACACACACACACACACCAGTGTGTTGCTGCTGGTGGCTGGAAGCCAACTTAATCAAGTGAAGGGTTGTGTGTGAAGACAGACGAGCTGCTGAACAGACAGCACAACAACACACACACACACACACACAGTGGTGGAATGTATCCGAGTACATTACTCAAGTACTCTGAGGTGCTTTCAGCTCCTCTGGACCTCAGAGGTAACTGTTGTTATTTTGTTTGACATCAGGATATCAAGGCCATATGTTCCACCTTGTACTGAGTAAATACGCATTGTGTGTGTGTGTGTGTGTGTGTGTGTGTACACGTGTGTGTGTGTCGGGGCGTCTCTTACTGGGTAGCAGCTCTCTGTCGGCCGTCTCTGTGCAGATGGGGTAAGGATAGAACAGGTGACCTTTCTCCAGAGGATACGGGATCATTCTGAACGCTGCAGACACACAAAGAACACACACACATGAGTATTTACTGAGTAATTAACAGTGAATCCAATAGAGTGTGTGTGTGTGTGTGTGTGTGTGTGTGTGTGTGTGTACTCACTGCCCTCCCAGGTGCAGTGCAGCAGGTTGAGCGCCCCCTCCACCCGTTTCCAGTGCTGCAGGTGGAAGAAGGCGTAGGCGATGGCCTCGCTGTCTCCTCTCTTCAGGATGTGTTCTGGAGGAAGAATCAGACTCTTCATCTCCAGCAGATACTGAGGAGGAGGAGGAGGAGGAGGAGGAGGAAGAGGAAGGAACAAAGGCAGAAGAAGAACAGGATTAAATGACGGCAGTTAATCTGAATTTGACAAAAAAATAAAGTAAATGAAATGTTGCTAAACGGCCGCTAATAACAAGATGTGGGTCCATCGGTATGTTTGATCAGAGAAGATAGAACTTCATAATATATATATAATACATGGTGTATAAGAAGTATTACTAACACCAGTGCCTCATAGAAACTTCAATAGAAAGGTAATATTGTGCATGATATACAGAGCTTATTGTGATGTCATTAAAATCAGTACGTCAGCTAAAAGGTTACATGAGTCAATAAATCACAATAGTTGACAGAAGTAGTGAAATTGTGTCATAAATTGAACACAAAGGGAATAATTGTGTAATTGTGTTGATGAATGTAACTCATGGTGCTGTCAGACTGCTCAGTGATGTGGAAGAAGCTAAATGGTACAAGCGGCTCCAGACGGTCTTTAAAACGACGTGTTGAAGAAGTGTTTCTCCACGTGGGACCTTCAGAGATCAGAGAGAGGAGCTGGAAGAAATACTTAGTAAATGGGGGCTAAAGACGAGGCCTTTTTCTGAATTGCGTGTGTTAATGTGTGTGTGTGAGTGAGTGTGTGTGTGAGGGGGGGGTGTGTGAGAGTATAGATGAGTCTCACTTTGGGGACGTGAGGGTTGAACTCCACCGCTCTGTGGATGGCTTCTACTGCGTTCATCTCTGCTGTGCTCAGCCCTCGTCTGGATGCTGCCTCTGGAGAGAATCTATACACACACACACACACACACACACACACACACACACACACACACACA